CAAACTTCGTGGCTTAAGACAACCAAATCATTTATTATCTTTCACAGTTTCTGTTAGTAGGAATTTGAGTGGCTTGGCTGGGCAATTCTGGCACAGGGTTACTTGTACAGTTGTAATCATATGTCAGCTGAGGCTACAGTCATCTATCTAAGGCCTTGATTGATGGGCTTCATTTATGTGGCTGGTAAGTTGGTGCTGGCTATTGGCTGGGGGGCCTCAGTTTCCTTCTACATGGGCCTCTCGGCAGAGATGTTGAGTAGCTGCACAACATGGCAGCTGGCTTGCTCTAGAGCGAGTGATCCAAGAGACCAAGGTGGAAGCTACAACAGCTTTTATGACCTAGGCTTGGAAGTCACACTTGCTTCTGCTGTATTTTCTTGGCCACATAGGACCATCCTAGGTTCGGTATTAGGGAGAGGATGACACAGCATTGTGAGTACCAGGAGGCAGGGACCCTTAGGGGCCACCTTTGAGGCTGGTGATATGGTGTTCTTTCACCTCCCCAATCTTGCTGCCCTCTCTCTCTACTCCAGGCCTTTGCAAAGACCATTCTCTCTGCCAGATACAGTCTCTTCCTCTCCCTTCCCCTGCCAGCTCCAGCTTATCTTTCAAGTCTCAACACAGGGATCAGCCCTGGCTTTGGGAGCTCTCTTCAAGATGAAAAACACAAAAATATCTTCTATTTTCAAAGTTTGCAAATAACATGATGATTCCTAGGGCCCTTGCCAGAGCCTTGAAAGGTCCCTGTACAAAAAAAAAGGGGCCCTGAAGTTTAAGCTTCACAGCATAACTTCTCTTCCGAGTCTCAGCATCGATGTCCCTTCCTCAGGGAGCGCTCCCTGATGCCAGACTTAGTAACGGTTGTTGCCTCCGTCTCCCCATGTGTCACACAATTAGACATTTTATATTCTTTTTCACCATGAGGGACTGTGTCTTATTCAAAAACGTTTACTCTGTGCTGGACACTGTTCTAAATTCCATGGGCACACCAGTGAACCAGACCCGAATAACATCCCTGCCCTCCTGGAATGTACATTCTGGCAGGGGGAGAGGCAATAAGCAGGTAAACAAGAAAATAAAAAGAATCATTTCAGCTAGTGATGGGTGCAGTGAAGAAAGTGGACCTGGGTAATGGGAGGTCAGGAAGGCCGCTCTGAGCAGCCGCCATCTGAGCCAAGACCTGAGTGATGAGGAGGAACAGCCTGGGAGATCTGGGGGGATAAGTGTTCTTGGCTGGGGGAACAGCAAGTGCAAAGGCCCTGAGGCAAAACCAAGGTTTGGCTGTTAAAAGGAAATTGGACAGGCCAGGAGGTGTTGAGCACAGGGACAAGGGGGAGGAAGGGGTCGATGAGTACAGAGAGGCAAGCAAGGACTAGATTGAGTAGGAATTTGCAGAATGGGCCAGAAGGCCATTTCTGTTTATTTTTTATTCAAGTAAAATTCACATAACATAACGTTCACCATTTGAAAGGGTACAGTTCCGTGGCATTTGGTACACTCCCGATGTTCTATGACCATCACCTCTGTGTAGTTCAGGGTTTTATTTTAAGCCAGTGAGAAGCCACTGGAGGTTCTGAGCAGGGAGCTCTGAGCATGTTTAGCACCTGTTCACCCCACAGGTATTTCCTTAGGCCACACCCTCCTGCCCTTTCTCACAAGACTTGCCTTAAGACCTGTACTCCTTTTCCTTCCAACGTCTTTCTTCTCTGCTTTTCTGAACAAACCAGCTAAAGTGGGAGGATGGCAGAGGAGTGGGGAGGCGGGAGCAAGATGGGGCTTTTAATTTCCAACTTTGAGTGTCAAAAGGCAATTTCATGCCTGCTGATGGGCTTGGAGCAGTGGAAGTAATAGAGTCTGGCAGCTAATGGGGTACTGGCTCCTGAGGACTTGCAGCTACTGCTTTTTCTCCTAACAGAGACAAGAATTTCTAGTGGTGTTTAACCCTGCATTCCACTCATAGCCAATGCACCCTCAGTGCCCTGTGGCATGGACCATGTTTTAGCGGAGATGACAACAATTTACGGTAGACCACAGTGTTAACTCTGCATCCAGCATCCTCTGATCCTCTGATCTTGTTGCTGGGGCCACACAGGGCTGGCAATCAGTTCTCTACATATTGTGGAGGATAAGTGTGCTGGCCGCCCAGGTCTGAATCCCACCTCGGCCACTTCCCAGCCACGTGACCTTCGGGAAATGGCCTAGTTTCTCTGTGTAGGCACACAGTAGGGACGGTGTGAGGAAAGACTGAGGTAACACAGGCACACGTTAGGATGGTGTGAGGACTGAATGAGGTAATGCGGGCACATGGTAGAGAAGGTATGTGGACTCAATGAAGTAACTCAGGCACACGGTAGAGACAGTGTGAGGCCTGAACAAGGTAACACGGGCACACCGTAGGGAAGGTGTGAGGACTGAATGAGGTAACACGGACACTGTAGGGAAGGTGTGAGGACTGAATGAGGTAACA